CTTCCAATCCCTGACATTCTGTGATTATCTGACAGGAACTGCTTCCACTGGAGCGCAGACGCCGCGCGGTGTTGGTGACTCTGGGTGTTTTGCTGTTGCACTGAATCAAAGCATCTTTTTTTTCCCATTGAGTGGCCTGAGCCTGGAATCTTAATAAGTTTGGATAAATACTTGGAAGGGTTTTTAACCAGTGTGTTTGTGCTGCAGGTACAACTGGCTTTGGAACAGGAACAACGGGGGGTCTTTTTGGTCCCCAATCTCAAACAACCAGTCTGTTTAACAAACCATTTGGTCAAGCCACCACGACGCAGAACACGGGCTTTTCTTTTGGGAACACCACTTTAGGGCAACCAAACACCAACACAATGGTAAGATAAATTGTTTTGAACTCTTAAAAGTGTAAGTTGTGATGTAGCTACTCCAGCTGGACACAGGAGGCTGCGATACAGCAGTTTAGATCTTCCCCAGGTTGTAGTACAGGTTTGTAAAGCTGGGATGCAAAGCTCTGAGCGCCGCTGGCTGAGCTCGCGGCTTCTTGCCAGTCAGAATTTGTAATTCATGATAACTGGGCAGCAACGCAGCTTTTTACAAAGCACTTTTCCATTCCCTTCTCTAAGCAACCTGCTCTCTATCAATTCCAGTATTTCCCATCGTGTTCACACAGATAATATAATTCCATTATTAACATTGGGTGGGAATTCATTAACGATGCTGTCCTTTCTGGGGACTGATGAGCAGCGTTCCTGGGCTCTTGATAGAAAGATGCTGCATAGCCATAACTTGTTGCCTAGCATGGGACTTTGGCTCCAAATATACCATATTCTTCCTGAATATGTTGTGCCTTCTCCCAGAAAACACCAAAATCTTTCTTTTCCATTTCCCTCCCTCAAAGTCTTGAGGAAATTCCAATATCCTTTTAAGCTTGGAGCATAAATTCTCTGATTATTTTCTAATTTCCTTTTTATAAGTAATTTTTTTTTTCTGAGAATGCTAAAAATCCTGCAATGTTTTTCACTCACCTTCTCCCAGCAAAAGGAGTCACGTTATAGCATCATTTTATTAATGATTATTTATTATTATCCTTTACATGAGGATTCTGTTATCATCAGCACTCGACTTGGAGAAGCATCACAGCGTTGTCTTAACCACGTTCCTCTTTGCAGGGTCTCTTTGGGGTAACTCAACCCTCACAACCTGGAGGCCTTTTTGGAACAACTACCAATACAAACACTGGTACTGGATTTGGAACTGGAACTGGTCTTTTTGGACAGGCTAACACGGGATTTGGTGTTGGCGGTTCGGTATGTTTGTGCCGTAATAAAAAAAAGATAATTAAAAGAAAAAAATTTAAAAAAGGAAAATAAAACCCAAATGGCTTGGAGTCCTGTTCCTGGTGTTGAGCTCCAGGAAAGCAGCCTTGTCTTGAGAGTTAAGGTGCTGAAATAGCATGGTGTAGTGTGGGCTGAAGGATCCAGGATAAGCCTGAGTAATAGAACTAGTGTTGCCAAAGTAATGTCTTGCGTGGTCAGAGACAGTGAGACTGAACATCTCCCAGCCTGTATCTTCCTCAGGGAGCCTCAGCAGAGTTTGGAAATACAGGTGTTTAAGTTATAATGCTGACTTAGCTGCAAATGAACTTAATTCTTGACCTTCAGTCATTTTGGTTGTAATGGAGTGAAAATACTTGTTCCCAGAGGTGCTCGCTGTGCGTTAGCGCACGTGGCTCGCGAGTAACACACCGCTGGTGGGAGTTGGGGTTGTGCTGGGTGTTAGTTCTGCTTTCCTGCCTACAGCGGAACACAAATGCAGTTCTTTTATTATCACTCTTGTCAAGTTTCCAAATTCATGTTGTTTTCCTTTCAGACTCTGTTTGGTAACAAGCCTGCTGGATTTGGAACCACCACGACCAGCGCTCCCTCCTTTGGAACAACCACTGGCAGCGGGATCTTTGGTAACAAACCAACCCTGACTTTAGGAACTATTACAAACACTTCCCATTTTGGTACATATAAAAAAAAAAAGTGGGATTTCCAGCAGTTAAAACTATACTGCATATACCACACACCTGGCTGCTGAATATTGTGTGCTAAATGGTTTAGTGTTAAAATTCTCAGGTAAGCCATGCTTCTGGTGCAGGTTGCTGCTGTTGTAGATGTTTCCTCTCAGTGATGCTCCCTGACTCAAGAAGGTAGATAGTAAAATAAAAGTGCCATTCTCACAGTGAGTGCTTAGAAGGTGGAATCTGTCATTGAAAACTTGAAATCAAAGAATTCCTACAAATCAAAGTTTGTTAAGAAGCTGTAAATACACTGTGGTTGCAGAAGAGCGTGGGAGGAACTGGGGTAAAACCAGTGATATCTGCAGCTTGATGGGAGGGATAAGGAGATGTTGCACTGGAGTGGGGGTAAAATGAATCTGTTAGTTCCAGTTTAACTGGTAGTTGTAGTTGTCATTGTCTTTCATGGTGTGAAGGATCAAAGTCCTGAAGAATTTGGGCTTGTGTTGATGTTGGCCTCTGACACTAATGTCCAGAGAAGGGCAACGGAGCTGGGGAAGGGTCTGGAGCACAAGTGTGCTGAGTTCCCTTGTGGCTGAGGGAACTGGGGGTGTTGAGCCTGGAGAAAAGGAGGCTGAGGGGAGACCTTGTGGCTCTGTGCAAGTCCCTTGGAGGAGGGTGGAGAGAGGTGGGGGTGGGTCTGTTCAACCAAGGCCCAAGGGACAGGCCAAGAGGAAATGGGCTCCAGTTGTGGCCAGGGCAGTTGAGATGGGATGTGAGGAAGAATTTCTTTGCTGCAAGGGTTCTGAGGCATTGGAAGGGGTTGCCCAGGGCAGTGGTGGAGTCCCCATCCCTGGAGGGATTGAAGAGTCGTGTAGACACAGTGCTGAGGGACATGGGTTAGTCATAGGGGACTGGTCAGTGTTGGGTTCATGGTTGGACTCGATGAGCTTAAAGGGCTTTTCCAATCTGGGCAATTCTTTGGTAGTTCTAGTAAATTACAGTCTTCCTTCACAGGACTTCTGTTGAAATCAGTTTTGTTTTTTTTCCTTGACTCTCAGAGCAATAGAACTGTATCCCTGAAAATTAGCAGGAGTGGGTTTAGCTCCTGACATCTGTTCCTTTTTTCATTTTTAAATGTCAATATTGGCACTGAAGTCTAAACGCCGTTATCCTGCCTGCTGGGCCAGGCAGAGGGAGGAAACTGCCGAGCGCTCAGACTGCTGGGGCAGCACCTCAGCAGTTCCACTGTGGTGAGCAGCTTTGGGCAAACTTATCATGGCATTTGTGAAAGTTCCTTCTACATCTCTTGTTCTGCTGTTCTCTTGGGATCCTCATAGCGGCATTAGTTGGTGTGTTGATGCTGTTTGGGGATGAAAATAGTGATTGTCAGATGTGTTTTCAATTTTTCTGCATTACTTGCAGTGGTCCCGTTCATAGGAACAGTGGAGTTTGGTTCTAAGGTGTTTCTGGTGTTGATCCACGATTGCAGTTTTCTAGTTTAATTCTGTCTTTGCATTGGATGGTTTCACAGTTTTCAGTTTTAAGAACTAATCTGGCCAATGTTAAATTTGGATTGTTCTTATTTATGTTAGGGATGTGTCTGAGCTGTGTGCTTGTAGGGATCTGAGTTGTTACCTGCTTTGTCGTGAAGAATCAGGAGTGTGTCTGTGGTATAAACAGTATAAAATCAGATTTATTCCTTCCTGGCAGTTAAGAAACATAATGAATTTTGTTCTACTGACAGATACAGCATTGTCACGTCTATTCTGGCTTTCAGTAGAACTTTGAAGTTTGTAACAAATTGAAAAGCTTAAGAAGGGAAAACAGCATTTTTCTGTACTGATGTTTTCACTAATATGTTCATAAATCAAATATGGTTCTTACCATTGAAGTCCCTTCTTGCTGCTTCTCAGTTCAACCTGTGTTGTTGGAACCTGTGTGTGAAATCTGACCTTGATTGTGGCAGGGCTGTCTTTGAGTTGATGATGCTTCTTTGTTTGAATACATGTTTTTAATTTCATCTCCAACAGTGTTAGATTAATTAACTATTCCTTCTGTTCTTAAAGGTTTTGGTGCCAACACTGCTGGAAATAGTTTGTTTGGAAATAAGCCTGCAACTGGGACTCTGGGAACCGGGCTTGGAACAGGCTTTGGAACAGGTAAATAGTTGATGAGCTTATTTCATGTCAGCCTAAGTGTAGTCCTCAAACCTCAGTGATGATACTGGTATTATGTGCTAACTTCAATGCAGTAAAGGCTGCAGATATTTTACCTTGAAGCTGAGAATCTCAGTCTCAAATCAGAGCCAAGGAGTTGAGGTGTTGAGGAACCTGTTAGAAATTGTAGGCAGTGTTGCTTACAGTGGTGGCTCCTGGCTCAGAAAACTGGTGGCATCCTGTGTTCAAAGCCACTGGTCTGATCAAATGAGTCTTGGGTGTCTGTAGGGTTCATGGACATGTCGAATGTTTCTTGTACTTTAATAACTGATTCTTTGTTGGGTGAGAAATTGGCTTGTAAGTTGATGACGGTCATTTCTCCTGCCACAGCTCTTGGAGCAGGACAGACTTCTTTGTTTGGAAATACCCAACCTAAACTTGGTGGATCTCTGGGAACAGGAGCATTTGGAGCACCAGGATTCAATACATCAACTGCTACTCTGGGCTTTGGAGCCCCTCAGCCTGCTGTAGGTATGTATGTTAATCAGAGTTCAGTGGCTGCTTCCTCCCTTGTTTCAGACATAATGCTAATTATATGTTTGGGGGTTTTTTTAAGTAATTCAAAGTTGCTTAATGTTGCTAGTAACTGCAGCTATTTTAGAACTTTGTCTTCGAGATTAGGTCAAGAGAGGTTCTCCTCCCCCTCTACTCTGCCCTGGTGAGGCCACATCTGGAATATTGTGTCCAGTTCTGGGCCCCACAGTTCAGGAAGGACAGGGAACTGCTGGAGAGAGTCCAGCACAGAGCCACCAAGATGATGAAGGGAGTGGAGCATCTCCCTGATGAGGAAAGGCTGAGGGAGCTGGGGCTCTTTAGCTTGGAGAAGAGGAGACTGAGGGGTGACCTCATTAATGTTTATAAATATGTTCAGGGTGAATGTCAGGAGGATGGAGCCAGGCTCTTCTCAGTGATGCCCAATGGTAGGACAAGGGGCAATGGGTGTGAGCTGGAACACAGGAGGTTCTGCTTAAACTTGAGAGGAAACTTCTTTCCAGTGAGGGTGCCAGAGCCCTGGGACAGGCTGCCCAGGGAGGGTGTGGAGTCTCCTTCTCTGGAGACATTCAAGACCCACCTGGACACCTTCCTGTGTGATCTCATTGAGGTTCCTGCTCTGGCAGGGGGGTTGGACTGGATGATCTTTTGAGGTCCCTTCCAATCCCCAACATTCTGTGTGATTCTCTGTGTGATTACTAACGTATCTCCCATCACTGAATTTGGGGCAACAACAGTAGGTGCTTACAAAAAAAAAAGGGAAAAGTAGTGTTAGCTTCTTCAGTAATTCCATGTAGGAGAACTAGAGGGATTTAATTAGCAGGTATCCCTGGAGGGATTGAAGAGTCGTGTAGACACAGTGCTGAGGGACATGGGTTAGTCATAGGGGACTGGTCAGTGTTGGGTTTGTGGTTGAACTCCATGAGCTTAAAGGGCTTTTCCAATCCAGGCAATTCTGTGATCCAAGTGTTCATTTCTGTAGGTAACACTTGCAGTGGGGCAGCAGAGGGAGGTGTCTCACTGTTTAACATCTGCTCAGTTACACCAGCTTTTGATCTGGGAAGAACCAGTTGTCTCAAACTCTACTCTCATCTTCCTTGTAGACTTTGACAAGAAGCTGTTGTTTCTCAGAACAGTTTTGTTCTTTGGGAGTGCCCAGATTCAATCTGGGTTTCTTGGAATTAGAATTAAGCTGCTTTAGGTTGCTCAAAGGACTTCATAGTGTGAACACTTAGAATGTTTGAATGGGAATTAGAATTAGATGCTGGAAGATGGAGAGACAAAATTAAGAGGCCTTTGTTGTAGAGAGGAGTTCAGACTGTTAGGCTTTGATTGCTGTAACAAGAATATCAAAGCTTTGTGTTGTAGATTTGTTTTTTTTTTTCCTTAAAAGATGTTTCAGAAGTCAGATGTATCAGTTAAAGGTTTTGGCAGGCCAGGCTCATTCTGATGTGTAGCTCTCCTTGCCCTCAGCTTTTCACACATTAAAAACTTATGGATGTGGTTGCAAACTCTAATGAAGGAATAGAATCTGATTTCCTTCAGCCAGCTGCAGAAACAGTGGCTGAAGAACAGGGGAGAGAAATGCTGAAGTCTGTATGGAAATTTGAATTCCTGTGAGGAGCTCCTCTGATTGGGGAAGATTTCTGCTGATCTTGGTTCTTCTAGTAAAACTGTGAAATCTAAACAACAATGTTCTTTTTGTAGCTCTGACAGACCCAAATGCATCGGCTGCCCAGCAAGCTGTCCTCCAGCAGCATCTCAATAGCTTGACTTACTCCCCCTTTGGAGATTCTCCGCTCTTCAGAAACCCCATGTCAGACCCAAAGAAGAAGGAAGAGGTAAGTGCACATAAACATTGAACTCCCTTTCTGGATAGGATTTGAAATGACTTTTAATTTATGTTTTGTGCTCACTATCTTCACTTAAATATGCAAAAAAAGTTTCCATCTGTATACTCACACGGGTGCAGTGGCTTTTTATGTTCTCCAGGACACAAACTGCTTTTACTGCAGCTTTGTGTCTGCATCAGAACCTTGGCTTTGGAGTTCTTGTTGGGCTCACTGCTGCTCGTTGAGAATAAAGATGGGCAATTGTCTGTGCTTGGAATATTTTTAGTACTTCCTGGAGCTTTGCTTATGACATCTCTCCTGACAATCTCTGACAAACCATACCCTGTTGGCTTGTTTTAAAAGACAACAGAACAAATACTTTTTGGACTTTTTGACTGTTAAGGGAGATTCTAAATGACTGCTGCCCCTGGGAACATTCCAGGGCCTAGAGATGACTCCTGCCCAGCCCCTGGAGCCCAGCACAGCATGCTCAGAGACCAAGGGGGTCCCCTCAGGGTGATGGACATGGCTGTTGCTTTCCCACATGATGCTGAGCGTGTATCCCAGACTCTCACACGCAGAGTGCACTGACACAGCTGGCTGCACAGCCACAGACAAGGTGTTGCCTTCAGCAGCACCCATGTGTAATGACCAGGACTTCCATAAAATATAAGTATATACAGCCAAGTCCCCTCTTTGGCTCATAAAAGTTGGAGCTCCCAACTGGCAGCACATGTCCTCACACTCTCTAGACTTGCCCACACATTTCTGGATCCCTGGAGCTTTAGCGTAGCCCCTCTGTCCATCCAATAGCCCTGCCCAGATCCTGAATCCTCTCACCTGCTCCACAGGGCAGGCTGCTCCAGCGTGATGCTTGCTGCAGAGATTCACTCATGCACACGCTCGTTCCATGGGCACCCTGTGCTGATGGATCCCTCAAGATCAGCAGGAGCCCTCTGCCTTATCCCTGCAGGACCCAGGGCCTCCTACTCATGTGCTGGTCCAGCTTGAAACTTGCCAGTGATTACACACACACACCCCCACGCACATGAGGTCTGGGGATGATGCAGGTGCTGTGCCTGTCCCCCACTGCCAGCAGCTGTCATCCAGACAGAGGGGACAGAAAGAATCGTAGAATCATGGGATGTTGTGAGTTGGGAGGGACCCACAAGGATGATGGGGTCCAACTCCTGTCCCTGCACAGGACAAGCCCAACATTCACACCATGTCCCTGAGGGCCTTGGCCAAATGCTGCTGGAATCTTGTCAGGCTTGGTGCCATCAGCACCTCCCTGGGGAGCCTGTTCCAGTGCTCCACCACCCTCTGGGTGCCTGAAGAACCTTTTCCTCATGGCCAACCTCACCCTCCCCTGCCACATCTTCCTGCCATGTCCTCTGCTCCTGGCATTGGTTGGTGGCCAGAGAGAAGAGATCAGCGCCTGCCCCTCCTCTTCCCCTTGGGAGGAAGTTCTAGACCCCCAGGAGATCTCCTCTCAGTCTCCTCTTCTCCAGGCTGAACAAACCAAGTGCCTTCAGCCTCTCCTCACACCCTTCCCCTCTAAACCCTTCCCCAATGTTGTGTCCCTCCTCTGGACACTCTCCAGCAGCTTTAGATCCTTTTTCTCCTGTGCTGCCCAAACTGCCCCCAGTGCTGGAGGTGAGGCCACCCCAGTGCTGTGTGAACACACCAGAGCTGTGTTCTTGTTCCAGTGGATGTTGCTGAGACCTTTGCCCACCCTGGTCCCATCCCAGTACCTATACCTGGGACACACACTGGTCCCATCCCAGTGGCTGGAGCAGAGACCCTCACCTGTTCCAGATACTGAGGCCCACACCCCTGATCTGATACCAGTAGCTGTCCTCAAATTCACTCAGCCTGAGCTGGAGGTCTGGGTTGGCCCTTTCCAAAGCTGTGCCTGTCACTTCTTAATGGCCCATCAGTGAGTAGCTGGAAGCTTTTTTTTCTCTGGTGGTATTTCCCTTTCTGGTTTTCAACCAGCTTTGTTTTGTTTGTGTCTTTCCCCTTTCCTTATTGTCCCCTTTGCATTTAAAAGCCCCGTGAGTGGATACACAAAGCAGGGACTCCCACTGTCCACAGACCCTTACAGTGAGCCAGGTGAAAATAACAATTCTCCATCTTTTTGTTTCAGAGGCTGAAACCGACCAACCCAGCAGCTCAGAAGGCCTTAACGACACCCACCCACTACAAACTGACTCCACGGCCAGCGACCAGAGTGCGACCAAAAGCTTTACAGTCAGCTGGTTCTGCTAAGTCTCATCTCTTTGATGGTCTTGATGACGACGAGCCATCCCTATCCAACGGTGCTTTCATGCCAAAGTTAGTTTCTCTTCTGTGTATGATGGAGGGAGGAGGTGGTGCAAGAATCTTCTGATCAGATTCAGTAAACTCCTGTATATGTTGGAACTAGATGACCTTTAAGGTCCCTTCCAATCCTAACCATTCTATGATTCTATGTAGTGTCCTAAGTTCATCACTGTTTTGTGACCTGGTGCAAATATGAATAGCAATAAGAAATTTTCTTTCAAACTTGAGCAGAACTTTTTTCTTTAGAGGAGATGAGTGTTCAGGTTAGAAGATGAGAATGAGATAAGAACGTTCAGGTTAGATAAGAATGTTCAGATGGAATTTTTTTTTTTGTTGGCTTTTTTGTATATGTATTTTGTAAAATACATTTTCACAGAATCCCAGACTGGTTTGGGTTGGGAGGGACCTTAAAGCTCCTCCAGTCCCAACCCCCCTGCCAGCAGCAGGGACACCTTCCACT